GCAACCACATGGGACAGATCTACTCTGCCCTCTGAGGTCAGTAAGAGTTGGAATCATTTAGACAGCGATGGGTTTGGTATGATAACATGTGTGGTGGTTACGTGTGGGGCTGTGATCTGCAGGGTTGGCAGTCTGAAACCACCAGCAGCGTCTCGGGAGAAAGACTGGGCTTTCCACTCCTGTGAACTCTCTTCAGAACCCACAGGGGGTCACTATGCATTGGCATGGACTGGACAGCCCTGGGTGAGTTTGGTTTTGGTGAAACCATCAGAAATGTCCATGTGCCAATAAGCAAACACCCGAGGGGATGAGTCCCTGGGCGTAGGGGCTCAGGATCACAGTCTCAGGGTACCCCAGGGTTCGTGAGCATCATGGAATTTACAAAGACAGCATAGACCATCCTACCTTGGGGAGTAGGGGCGGGGGTCTTAAAAGCTCAAGGGCAACCCTCTGAGATGCAATGATCAGTGTCTTCCTGTCTGGAGGGAAGGAGAGGGACGCAAATGGAAAGACACGTGGAAACAATCAGTCTGTGGGCTAATGGGCCATGCAAACATCACTCTTCCCAACCTTAAGACCGGAAGATTGTAGCCGGCCACCGCTCTCAACTGGTCTGAGGAGAATCCCAGGAGAAGGTCTTAAAGAGTGGGAGAAGAGCGTGGAACAAAATTCCAGTTCGTGAAAGTGACAAGGCTTACTGATCAGACAGAGTCTGGTGGAACCCCAGAGTGTGGTCCTTAGTGGCCTTCAGGTCTGGAGTGGAGTTCCCTCCCTGTGTTGGATGCTCTCTGCACGAGGGATTGCAATGGAGGAGTTCACAGAAAATGTAGATGAATGGACATATTGGCTTGTGTAAACGGTGGCCCAAACCCCCCCAAATAGCTCTATTATATAGTAAATAGAAAAGAAAAGAATGAGGGTTCCTGAGGGGTAGGGAGGGGGGAGGGAGGGGATAGAGGGAAGCTGATATCAAGGACTTCAAGAAGAAAGAAAATGCTTTGAAACTGACCGTGGTGGTGATTGTACAATCCTGCTGGATGGGATGGACCTTGATGACCTCTATCAGCGCTCCCAATACAATGCTTAAAAACAAAAAAAGAAAATGTAGTTGAATTGTTCAGTGTAAAACTGATGATCTGCTTTGCAAAGCTTCATCTAATTATCTATCTATCTATCTCTAAATATATTCATTTCATCTATATATATAATCTGATATCATCTAATATCTATCTCTATATAAATTATCTATCATCTATCTATCTATCTATCTCTAAATATATTCATTTCATCTATATATATAATCTGATATCATCTAATATCTATCTCTATATAAATTATCTATCTATCTATCTATCTATCTATCTATCTACCTATCTATCTCTCTATCAAACCTGTGTGAAGCAAAACTTCATGACACGGGGTTGGGGAAGCCATCTGTGTAACAGGACACTGCTGTCTTTAAGCCGAGAGAGGCTCTGTCTGCGTCAGAAAGCTAACCAAAATCAGGACGCACACCACAGAGCTTTGCATGCCATGCTGGTCCTGCTGCCCCACGTTTCCTCAAAGGGAGCCTGGGATTGCTTTTGTCCCTGCCATCAGAACAAAGCAACGCGAGTCAGTGTGAAAAAACGAGGCAAGGACAGGAAAGCCCCAAACAAGCAAACTCATCGCCATAGACGGGATGCAGACTCATAGCAACCTTATAAGACTGGGCAGTACCGCCCCCTTTGCATTTCTGCGATGGCAACTCTTTACAGGAGTAGTGAGCACCATGGCTCTCCCAAGACAGAGTCATATCAAGGCAAAAATAAAACCATAAAATAACGACAGATTTGCAAGCACATCCCCTCCCCCTGGCCCCACTCACCTCACAGGTCAAAGTCCACCTCGCGGGGAGGAAGTGAGACCTTCAGGAGAGGTGGGGATGTTGATATACAGCCACCTGCCCTGGGAGCAGCAGGTGTGTGACAGAGTGGAGCTGGGAGACTCCTGGGAAGTTCCCCTCAGAAGAGGAGTGGACACAGCTCATGGACCTTCCCAGTCCCGGCCGCAGCTTCTGGAAGGGCTTCATCCTTGTGGGTAAGAGAGAGCTGGGCTTGCTTTGCCTAGCTGAGGGGGTGGGAGCCAGAGGCTATGCCAAGCCTGAAATCCCTGGGGCAAGGGCAAGGGGAGGAAGCTCCCACACCTGCTTACACCACAGACCCAAGGACGTTGCTGTGAGGCAACATAGACGGAAAGGCAGTGAGTTTTGCTTTGTTTTTGTATAGAGCCACTGGTATGCAAACAGTCAGATACGGACACACACACACACACACACACACACACAGGCAAACTGTTCCCCCTTCGCAAACAGACAGACAGACTGCCATACACATACACAGCAGAGAAAGGCAGACCCATACAGGCACAGACAAGAAGACATCCACACGGCACACAACAGATGGGCAGACACACATACACACAGGGACCGGGAGACAGATAAAACCACAGACAGGCCGGTGCACACACACAAACACACACAGCACTCACATCTATCCACAGCTCCCAGCAACCCCTCCCCCATGGATTGCAGATCTGTCAAGACCCGACCCTGACACTCCCCCCACCACTGCCCGCTACATTTCTCAGTCTGGACTCCCTGAGGTACACAACTACCATGCTATCAGGAAGCCATGTTGCTCTCATGGAAGGCACTCGCGATCCACCACTCACCTGGCTCTGTCTCTTTCATGGAGCCAAATCTTGGCATTGGCCAAGAAGCACACACCTGACTCATGACTTTGGGGACCAGGTGATGCCACCCCCGCTGACATCCATTCCAGCGAATTGACTAGTGCAGCCTCGGAAAGCCAAGTTGTGTATGGACAGCCTCAGGGAATCAGCCCGCCCTGTCGCTGTTTGTTGAATGCTCCTGTTGTGCTTTTTTTGAGGGGGAGGGGGGCATGAGCCCCGTGGTCACCAACAGCCCCAATCCTCTTCTCCCGTCCAGTGCCAGGCACAGGCCCTGAGATGAGAGCCACGCAGCCTGGGGGAACGCAGAGGGAACAGGGAGGAGGAGACACCCGTCTGACAAGGGAGGGATGAGTAGAAGTGGCTTAGCAAGGGGACTGGAGGGCAGGGCGGGACGAGCTGTGTGCACTCCTAGAGTTAGGAAAAAGTAGAGGAGCCCTGGTGGGGCAGGGCATTGGGCTGCTAGCCACGAGGTCAGCAGTTCAAAACCACTAGCTGTTCCCAGGGAGAAAGACAGGGCTTGCTTACTCCTGTAAAGAGCTCCAGTCTCAGGAACACAAAGGGCAGTCCTACCCTCTCCGGTAGGGTTGTGATGAGTTGAAATTGGCTCCGTGGCAGTGAGCGTGGTTTAGTTTTGTGTTATGACGCATCAAGAATGCCATGTGAGCCCCTGGGTGGTGCAAAAAGGTGCCCTGGTGGCATAGTGGTTACACGTTGGGCTGCTAACCATAAGGCCAGCAGTTGGAAGCCACCAGCTGCTCTATGGGAGAGAGACGAGGCGTTCTACTGCTGTAAAGAGGGACAGTGTGGGAAACACACAGGGGCGGTTCTACCCTGTCCTATGAGTTCGCTGTGAGTCATCATCGACAGGATGGCAGAGAGTTTGCGTGTTGGTGGTGCAAATGGTTAAGTGCTGGATTACTACCTCACAGGTTGGTGGTTCAAACCCACCAAGAAGTTTCCCCGAAGTAGGCTGTTCACAGCCTTCGGACACCCTCCGGCACCATTCTACTCTGCACACAGGAGATCACCATGAGTCAGAAGCCACTCGTTCACAACCAGCAACCACATACAGGGTTCTTGATCACCTATGGCTGGCTGAACTTAGCTTTTTTTTTTTTAAGGGAGAATGGTATGCGTGACTAGCCCAAAGTATGGTGGCTGTACCTTTTGATAAAATGAATTATTCAGGGAAGGAATGACTGCGAGGTGCAGAGGTGGCGAGATGCTATCGGTGTGGCTCAAACGAAGGCCTAAGGACTAGGTCTTGCTGCATAGGCCATTCTAAGACTCGGGAACACTGGGGTATTTGAATGTGACCAGATGGCTCTTTAGAAAGAGTCACCTAACTGTCCTATGGGGGCGGACTAAAGGTGGGCAGCCCGGGAGGAGGCTGAGCTGAGAGATGCTGAGGGAAGCAGGGCAGGGGCTGAGGGTCTGGAGAGGAGAAAAGGGGCAGGTGGTCTTCCAGCAAATAGAAACTCTATGTTCTCTTGATGGTAGTGACCTGTGTTTATGTATTCTTATTTCAGGTTCTAAGTCAGTTGTGCCCTGTGTTGATGTATTCTTATTTCCGGTTCTCAGCCGGTAGTGACCTGTGTTGATGTACAGTGAACCCTCACCACTTCGCGCTTCGACTTCCGCGGCTTCACTCTATCGCGGTTTTTGCGTAACAGCACCCACTGCCTACACCCGCTCCTTCAGAGGAAAAAGACGGCGACCCACCTGTAGAGTACATCCCTTAAGTCATTTCATAGGCTATCGATTACAGTATTTGTAAGAACTATGTATAATAATACTGTATGTGAAATATGTAATACTGTAAACTAGATGCCATAAATAAGATAATAAATAATAAATGATAATTGTAACGTCCAAAATGTTTTACTGTATTTTCCCTTTTTCATTTAATAAATTGGGTAATACGAGTGTAATGGTGACTAAAGGGTGTTTTTTCATGTCCTCTATGCTCTAACTACGAAAATATTTGATTTACAAATAAGGAATCCTACTTCGCGGAATTTCATTTATCACGGTAGGGTCTAGAACCGATTAACCGCGATAAACGAGGGTTCACTGTATTCTTTTTTTCTCCATTCTCAGTCGGTCTGCTGACCTATGGGACCTGCCAAGCCTCCGGGCACATTTATATCAGCCCCTACTCACTCCTGGGGCTCAAAGGAGATAAAGCTACCTTGATCCTCAGAAATGGCACCGAGGACGCTTTGCGGTACAGCTGGCACCGGGGTGAAGATGACAGAGCAGACAACATGATTGTCAGCTACGACACCTCTTCGAAGCAATGGCTCCAGGGACCAAAATTCAGCGGCCGGGAGAACGTGACCGCGAGTGGTTCCCTGGTGATCCAGGACCTTGAATTAACTGACAGTGGCAACTATACCGTGATGATGGAAAGGGCCAATGAGCAGCAACGTGCAACCGGCAGCTTTGTGGTCTTAGGTGAGCTGCCTCAGGGTTCCATTTCCCAACTCGGAGGGAAGTCGGACTTTTAAGGCTGCACCTGACATTGAGTGCGTTGACAGGTGGTCATCCAGCGTCTTCTGGAGAGTCAAGTCGCTCGTTTACCTTCCAGGAAGCCTCCAGCTATATTGCTCGACGGCGTCTTACTTACCTACTGCTGCACACAAAGGCAGCAGCTGACGGTATCGCCCACGATGACCTCACAGTTTCTGTGGGCCCGGAGTGTGGGTCTGACCGAGCTAAGTCCTCTGAGTCTCAGAAGGCATCGGTCTGGGCTAGCTCATCTGGAGGCTCAACTAGGGAAGACTCATTTGGGTTGTGGACCACATGGATTTCCATTTGATAGTTTGATTGAGGTTTCCAAGCTCTTACTGGTTGTGGGCTGGAAACCCTTTGGGTCCAGAGATTGCTGCAGCTCTCGGGTAGAACTCCCCCCACCCCCACCCCCCACCCCCCACCCCCGCAGGGAACCATCTAGCCATCTCGCTAGGAAGTCCCCAACATGACTGTGTGCTTTTCAAGGTCAGCTGAAGAATTTCCTTCTCTAGTCGGCAAAGGCAGAGGCCTTTAGACATAGAGCATCATGACGCAAGGTGGGATGTGACCGTGGGACGTCGCCTCCCACTACATTACATGAGATCCCTGGGTGGCACCAAATGGTGAAGTGCTCAGTTGCTACTCAGAAGGTGGACAGTTGGGATCCACTCAGTGAATCCTCGGACGATCAGCTTGGTGACCTGTTTGCAAGAGGTCGGAGCCTTGCAAACCCTGTGGAGCCCAGTTCTACTCCGATACACATGGTGGAACCGTGAATCAGAACTGACTTCATGGCAACTACCAGCAACAATATAGGTTGAAAGCAAGTCACAGGTGGTGTCCACACTCAACTCAATGCGATCACCCAGAGTTGAACACCAAGGGGGTAGAAATCAGGGGGCCAGTCTAGAATTCTGCCGCCTATAGACGTCTCTGGAAGGACCCATCAGGCTGGGGGTTGAGACGGAAGAGGTGAGGTGGAAGAAACACAGGTTTGGAAAACTTGTACTCTGATAAGACAAGCAAAATATATACTTCATGGCCCTAAACGATTGTTGTTTCCTCTGTGGTCCCCGAGTTCTTCACTTGTCGATAGGGGGAAATGGCCACCATTTCGGTTCATTGTAAAGTTGGAAGGAGCTTTTGTAAAATGAATGGGAGCAACTATGATTGGCAGTCCAAATAGCAACTGAATTCTACCCATGGGTCTTTTGATGGGAGTGTCCTGGTTTTGGCATTCTAAGACAATCGTTACACCTCTTGCCTATGCCAAGATCTCTCCATTATGATGGCAGAAGTCATTGTAATGGCTTGATGCTGTTTAAGTCAATGCTTATGCCCAATTTCTCTGCTCCTGCCCAAACCCTAAACCCCATCTAATGGCCCTTGGCTTCTCCCCCAATACACCCTAAAACTTACTTGAAAAACCTGGGGAGACAGAACCCACTGCTAATCTCTTTCTCTTTCTTCCTATTTCACCCAGAGTTGGACAAAGAACCCATTGCCACGAGCAATACCACCTCCGTGGTAGAGAACATAGAACCCATAGCATTCTTCTGCGACACCAATAACACCAAGATCACATGGTACTTTAACTTCAGAAAAGTGTCCAGCAATGACCGCATGACCATTTCCCAAGACAACAAGACGCTCATCATTCACAGGCTCCAACGTTATGATGATCGTGTCTATTGCCAAATAGTAACTATCCTAGACCTTGAACAGCAGAGTAACGTCATCCGGCTGAATGTGTTCTGTGAGTCTGCACTGGGGCTCTGGGGTAATGACTATCGAAAGAGGGAGTGACACCTAAGGTGGGCTTCTTCCAAGGGCTTTGTGACAAAGCAACCAGAGCCAGCGAGAGGTGAGGTCCCAAGCTGGGCACCAGGGCTGATCTGACCTAGTGACACGCTCTTACAGTGAGTTTGAAGGATTTGGGTGGGTGCTTGGGTGAGTCAAAAGGGGCCTCTGATTCAAATAAAAGATCTGGCCAATAGATGGCAGTTTGTAAAACCTCACCTCACCACCATGGAGTCAGACTCCTCACTAGACCCGACCCTACAGAACAGAGTAGAACTACACCCCGTGGATTTCCAAGACTGTAAATCTTTAAGGGAGTATCATCTTCCTCCCATGGAGTGGCTGGTGGTTTAGAACCTCGGACCATGTTGTTGGTAGCCCAGTGTGTAGACCATTGAGCCACGGGCTCTTTGGCAGTTTGGAAAGCAAGTTATTTATTGGTGTGGTGCTTCGGAGAGATGCTTTGAAAGGATGATGCCTTCATGACCCTTTAATACAGTTTCTCATGTTGTGGTGACCCCCAACCATAAAATTATTTTCTTTTTCTTTTTTAAAAATCACTTTATTGGGGGCTTATACACTCTTGTCACAATCCATACAAACATCCACTGTGTCAAGCACATTTGTACATTTGTTGCCATCATCGTTCTCAAAGCATGTTTTCTTTTTTTTTTTAATCGGGCAAATTTCTATTTATTTTTTAATCGTTTTATTAGGGGTTCATACAATTCTTATCACAATCCATACATACATCAATTGTGTAAAGTACCTTTGTACACTCATTGCCCTCATCATTCTCAAAACATTTCCTTTCCACTTAAGCCCCTGGTATTAGGTCCTCATTTTCCCCCTCCCTCCCCGCTCCCCCCTCCCTCATGAGCCCTTGATAATTTATAAATTATTATTTTGTCATATCTTGCCCTGTCCGACATCTCCCTTCACCCACTTTTTTGTTGTCCGTCCCCCAGGAAGGAGGTCACATACAGTTTCTTGTAATTGATTCCCTCATAAAATTATTTTCATTGCTACTTCATAACTGTCATTTTGCTACTGTGATGAATCGGGTGACCCTTGTGAAAGGGTCTTTCGACTCCCAAAGGGGTCATGACCCACAGGTTGAGAACCACTGCCCTAGAAGGTCACTATGAGTCTGGATCTATTCAATAGCAATGGGTTTAGTTTGATAGGCTTTGATGGGTTGGCTTGACCCTTGCAGTTTGAGACCGTTTAAAGGCAAGTGGCACAGAGACCACCCAAACGGGGAAGGGTGTAGGGAAATAATCCCAGGTAGGGGTCCTGTTGCATCAACTTCAAGTCACAGCAGCCCCATGTGACAAAGTGGAACTGCTCCATGGGGTTTCTATGAGTTTGAGTGGACTCAGTGGCCATGTGTTTGGTTGGGGGTCAAGCTGTATGGGAGCAGATTGCCAGTTCTTTCCCAGCAGAGCTGCTGAGCTGGTTAATTCTGGTAACCTCTTACCAGCCAAGAGCTTAACGACGAGGGCACAGCAGGGCTCAATCGTACACTTAACCCCCTAAGTTTCTCCTGAACATTATTTTCTTTCACTATGAAATGAGTCAACAATGGAACAAGCTGCATGGGGGTTTGTGGGAGTACAATGAGTGGGCACACTACGTGCGAAGTGCTTAGAATGATCATTGGTGTTGTGGTTCATTTACTCTATTGTCCATCCATCCATCCATCTCTCTCTCTCCATTCATCATCCATACATCTCACATCTGTTACCTATCCATCCATTTACCCACCAATCTATCTATGCACCTATTTATCTATCCTACCTATCTATCTACCCATCTATCATCTATTGAGATGTATTGTAAGTAATTGGCTCACCCAATTTGGGGCAAGGCCAATTCTAAATTTCTAGTCACTGGGATGGAAATTCCAGTAGGTTTTCTAAGTTATAATCTTGAGGTAGAATCTTTCTCTCTGGGCAAACCTCCGGTTTTTGCTCTTGAGGTCTTTAACCAATTGGATGAGTCCCAAACACATTGTGGAGAGCCACCTGCTTTACTTATAGAGGATAGCGGATTTAAAGGCAAATGACATGCAAATACCATCACAGCAACATCTAGACTAGTGTTTGACCAAACAACTGAGTCCCATAGTATAGCCAAGATGACATAAATCTACCCAACACACTAACCTTATTATTTTTAAAAACATTTTATTAGGAGCTCTTACAGGTATTATTACAAGCCATAGTTCCAGTAGATCCAACATAATTGTATCATTGCCGCCATCCTCATTTCTAATACATTTTCTTTTCTTCTTGAACCTCTTTATTCCCCCACCCCACCCCACCTCACCCTCCCCACTTACCGTGTTATGACATCCTTTATGTTATCACAGTGAAGGATGCCTCTACGGTTGTCTTTGTCAAGGCAGCCTGCTTGCCTGGGTTGAGTGGGCTTATGATACAAAGTGGGAGCGGCTCCTGGCTTGGGGGTGGGGGCTGCTGCATGTGGCTTCCGAGTGAGAAAGAACTCTAAAGAACACATTTGCAGGGTCAGGCATGTAGCCCTGAGTCTCTTTTCCCATTTATGCAGTTGGACCCGAGTCCATGTCTATTAAGAGCACACCTACTGCTAATGGCTTCACCAGTGTCCTGTCTGCTGAGATCGGATCCAAGGTGGAGATGGAATGTACGCACCACCAATCCAACCCAAACCCCAAGTACCGCTGGTTTCACAACAATTCCCTCCTGACGGTCTCCGGGACCAAGATGACCTTCACAGTGTCCTGGAATCGGCTGGGCAAATACAGATGTGTCCTGGAGAACTCTGGGAACCAGGTGATCCTTTACAAAGACATCCATGTCCAGCTTCCAGGTGAGTGAAGCAGCTGGCTCTCCAGGGCTCTTGTGCTCCGAGTCATCTGCCACTCCATCCCTCTACCTACCTAGTGACTCTGCTCGGGAATAACATTGTCACCTTGTCATGCTATGCTCCCCAGTGCTGGGATGAAACCCTCTCTGTCCTCCAAAGCTCAAGGATGCCTCCTCTGTGAAGGCATCCAGACTCTTCCCATCAGAGCCAGGATGAACCAAACAATGCGATTAGTCTACTCTCTCCTTACCTAGAGCTGCCAAAAGCTGCCCGGTGGGTGGCTTTTGTCTCCATTTATCAAGCACTGCAGTAGAACAAAGCCCACAGATGAATGGCGTTAGCAGACAGAAACATACTCCCCTATGGTTCAGGGGACTATGTCCACATTTCATGGTTCAATGGTCCACATTCGAGGGGTCAGCTTGCAGGGAAGACTTTATCTCTGTTGGCATTAGGGGAAGGTCTTTATTTCTTGACTCTTGGGTCTTGTAGTAGGACATCTCTCTTCTCCCTTCTTTGCTCCCTCCCTTGCTTGTTTGATTCCTTTTATATCTCAGAAGAGATTAACTCAAGACACACCTGCACTAACCCTGCTGAGTTTACATCAGAAAGATAGCTCATGCCCAAATGGGATTATAATCAAAGGTGTAGAGGTTATGATTTGCAATATTTTTGATGGGTGGGGTGGGGTAGGGAGATATAAAGGGGTTGACACAATTCAGTCCACAACAACTTCAGAGAACAGAATTACAGCCTTGAAGTTCAGGACACTACAAGTCCAAATCCAGTTATCTCAGCCACATTGATGCCTTCTGAGGGCTTTGAAAGAGGAAGTGTGCCATGCCTCTCTGCTAGCTTCTGGGTGATTGTAGCAAACGTTGGCATTCCTTTACGGCTTGTAGTCCCTCTCCACCTGGTGTCTTCTCTACGTCTGTTCTCCCCTTTTATTTATTTACTTATTCCCATTTCATTGGGAGCTCTGACATAGTTCAGTTAGATCAAGCATGATGATCCAATTGCTGCCACGATTATTTTCAAAGCATCTTCTTCTTGCATTATTTGATATCAGATCCCCTTTATTCCTGCCCTCCCCCACCCTCCCCCCAGGAACCCTTGATGTTATATTAAATATTATTATTATTGTTATTTCATTATATATGTTTTGGCCATCTCTTCCACCATTTCATACATCCGTTGGCTTACCATTCTGTTATTTGTTCCCCTTGACTGGGGGTTATATAGTCATAGTTGCTATCTGTTTCTCCCCCCCCCCCCACTTTTTCTGTACCCCCAGGGAATTATCACTCTCACTACTATTTCTGAAGGGTTTATCTATCTTGGATTTTGTGCATCGAATGATCTTAATTATACTAATGAACACACACAAGTCTAACAGAATTAATGAATAAAACTAAGACCACGATAGTAGGAGGAAATATTAAAGAACTAGAGGACAGTTATGTGTTTCAACAGTGCTATACTGAACTCTGAATATATCCTTTCTTCCATGTGGCCCTATTATCTTACAGGTAGTCTTTGGATCTCTGCTTTTCTATGCTCCTTCATGACAATTTGGTTGCTTGGTTTTGAACTTCTGTTACCGATTCCCCTCGACACCTCCTTATCACACAGGCTGATGTGTTTCTTCCATGTGAACTTTGTTGCTTCCCTCCTAAATGGACGCTTGTTTGACCTCAAGCCTTTAAGACCCCAGACACTGTATCTTTTAATAACTGGGCACCATTAGCTTTCTCCACCACATTTGCTTATGTGCCCATTTTGTCTTCAGCGATCGTGTTGGGAAGTTGAGTATCATACATTACCACAGTGTTAGATGTTCTCCTCTTTTATAAAGCATCACTCAGAAGGCCCTAGTGTCCACCACACGGATAAATGTTAACTATAACATCTGCAGGTGAGAAACACCATTTCCTCAAGCAAGGCAACATTTACAGGGGTTAAGACTTCAACATATCCTTTTTTAGAATGTACAGTTGAATCCATCACACCAACATTGGTTGAGGTCAGCACTAGGTGACAGCCACTATTCTAAGGTGTCACACCCACAATCTCCCTATGGAGTAAACGCTTCTTCTTAGCATCCCCTCCATTGAAGAGGGGAGTAAAGCGGCCCTTGGAAGCTTGTGTACTTTAGACAAGGTTTGGCTTCTAAGTCAGTAGAGGAGTCAAACTTTAAAGCCGGGCAATCTGACCTCAGCCTTAGTTCTCAACTATGACCCTGAACTGCTTCCAAAAAAAACCAGAAAATGCCCAAGTTGGTAGCCAGGGATAAGGATTTGGGGGAGAGCAGGTCTATCTCTCTGTGCTTGTTGAGGGTCACAAACTTGACCCGCGAGTTTAATTTGTGAGTGGGAGAAGCACCCTTTCTTCAGCAACCCCCACATCCGATCTTCTTCATCAAGGAGCAAAATGGACATCTTCCGGGAGTGAGTTGGAGAGTGGGGAAGTGAAAAACTGGAGCCCAAGGACCTGGGTGCATAGCCTAAAGTTGCTGCTGCAGGAACGAGGGCCAGGCAGTTTTACCTCCCTGAACTTCAGTGTTTTCCTCTGTAGTGTCAGGATGATACCTGTTCCTAAGCAAGAGGATAAAGAGAAGGGAATGGGGAAGTGCACACACACACACACACACACACACACACACACACACTCAACACACAAGAAATCATCAGCTTAGAGAGAGATGCTCAGTGTGTAGCCTGGAGACACATATTAAGTCTATTCAGCCTCTCCACACTATGTCCTGAGTACTTACTTATGGGAAACAGAAAAGTTATTCCCCAGGTTGTCCCCCACATAATATATGCCAAACCTAAGGCACTGACTCTACACTTGGAGGTCAACTGCTTGAAGATTATCTGCCTGAAGGGTATCAGCCATCTAGAGCAATCGGACCCTATTGTCTGTCCCACCCTAAGTAGAGTCCACTCCCTTCTGATAAGGATAATGGATGGTCCCCCTGAAGGAGAGCCCAAAGACGCCGAAGGTCAAGCCAACACAGGGACGACCAACGTTAGGCTGTCATCTTGACTCTAGAGCCCACCCATTTGTTATGCATATGCCTTCTTGTCACATGTGTGTCCCTAATGCTTCTCCTTCCTATTGCATGTGTACCGCTAGCTCATCCCCCTCTTGTTATGCATATGTCTAATTGTGTAACCCCTTCCTGGTACGCATATGGCTATCTGTAAACAAGGGGTCTTGCATGCCCCTCCAGTGTATATAAGCCTTGGTTGAAAATATATTCTTTCTCTTTGTACTCCTGAGATCATGGCCGTCCCGGAGGAGAGCACATGCATGCTTTATCTTGTCTGATGTCTCTGTAATTTTACCCCTCAATGACACAACCACCCCTTTGAGAGGTTGAAGATGGAGGATGGGGCTGTACACCGGCCAGAGGAAGGCTGGGGTGGCACAGAGGCCTCTCCTGTTGGTCCTGGGTCTTTCAGCACCAAGATGAGAGGTTGGAGACAGAGGCACCGAACAGAGATAGAATTTAGCCAGGAATGTGAAGTTGAGAAAGGCTTTATTGAGGGAGGGAAAGAACTCCCGGGAGGGAAGGGAGAGCAGAGAACGGGACGGGGGCATCTTGAGCCCCCAGTAAGTTCCAAGACCCAAGGAGTTAGGTCAAGGAAATAGCGCCTGGCAGTGAGGCAGTGGGACATATATAGGGCTTGAGCCAAGGACGTATGAGCTGATAAGGGGAAGGAGGCCTTCTGGTGTGACAGTTGCAGGGTCTGAGTCAGGGTGTGGTCTGTGAGTAAATCGTCCCGGAACACTGAGGGAAGGGGCTGTATAGACCAGTCCAGAGAGATAAGCTCCTTGGAACTCTGGAGGCAGGGACTGCGCAGTCCAGCTCTGGCCTTGAGAGGCGGGGTGGGGGTGGGCGGGTGGGGGTGGGAGGGCTGCACAGTCCAGCAGGCTGTCTTTCGGGGGAGCTGGGGGAAGTGGCTGCATGGTCTGGACCAGCCCAAACACCCTTGAGCCCACTCGATTGTGGGGGCTGGTACCCCACACCTACGACCTTCCATACACCCACATGTTTCTGTGATTTGTTGATTCATGCTTTACTACCCCACTGTTGCTGTTGTTGTTGTTGTTGGCCATGGAGTCAGAGTGAAACCCCACCTGGTCCTGTGCCAGCCTCACACCAGTTCTTATATCTGAGCCCACTGCCACTGTCACTATGTCCATCCATCTTGTGGATGGCCTTCCTCTTTTTTGCTGCCCCTTAATTTTTAACAAGCATGATGTCCTTCTCCAGGGACTGGTCTCTCTCGACAACATGCCCAAAGCACACGAGATGAAGTCTCACCATCCTTTGCCCCCGAGGAGGATTTCCGGCTGCACTTTGTCGGAGGCAGTGTGCTACTAGCTTAGTGAGCGTCGAGGTTTGGAGAGTTTTTGCTTGCTATTTGTCCCCTCCATTTAACGTGGCAGCTGACACATAGCTGGTGCTCAGGACGTATCTGTGCAGTGAGCTCATGATGCCGTGTCACCCAAACGCTCACCAATCATTCTTCAGCACCCTGGTGGTGGCTGTTAGGGGCTGCCAAGTCAGTTCACACTCATAGCAACCTTACGCAGCAGAGGGTGAAACGTTGCCCACTTCTCCACCATCCTCACAGCCATTGCCATGTATGAAATCCCTTCCTATTTTTCATTGACTCTCTACTATACCAATCATGAGGACTGTGTTAAGCAGGGTTGACCAGAGAAACAAATCCAGAGACACTCATAGATGTATAAGAAGGAACTTTATGTCAAGAAGTCATTATATATCAAGAAAACATCCCAAGCCAGTTCAGCTTAAGTTCATATGCCCGATAGGAGTCCATAAGTCTCATACTAGTCCATGAATTCCTCTTCAGACTCATGCAGCCACATGCAATGATGCTGAATAGAGGAAGATCAGAGGCCAGTGGGTGAAAAGTCTTGTGGATCCAGTGATGACGGATACATCTCCACGGCTCTGGCAGTGCTCAGAGCGGCTCTTCCATGGGAAGGTGAAGGCAGAGAAAGAGAGGGGAGGTTCCCTCCTTATGAGAAGGCCATGCCCACCAGGAGGTACCATCAGGCTGTGACCTGATTGACATGCTAGACTCCATCACTTCACTCTATTTATCAAGTTGACACAAGGTTATGTAACTACCACAATGACCTTCATCACCTTGGTAACGTGCCCATTCCCCTTTCAAGGTCCTAGTCTTCAGAGCACTGACTGTTGTGGCAACGTTATCGCGCATCTCCTAACTTCATTGTCTACTGTTCTCTTCCTGGCCGGAATATCCACCCTTGAGGGCAGGGACTTTGGTTTGTTCATTCTGGACGTCCCAGTAACTGAAAGATACATAGTCGTGCTGATAGATATTTGAAGAATGAATTTATGGCCACTTGATGGATCCAATGAATGAATGTCCAAACAAAGAGTTATCCTGACTCCCATTTATCTTCTCCCCTTTCCTCCCAGAGAACCACGATATGACCCCAAAGGTCTCACTGTCTCAGGACCTATGGCTGTGCTGCTCATTGTGGTGACTGCCATGGGCGGAGTCTACCTCTGTGGAATCCTAGTCTACATGCTGATCAGCTATCGCTCCACCAGGTGCCTGTTGCCCGGGGTCAAGGTTGGATGGGGGCTGAGACTCAAGGGTTAGCACTACCTTAGGGGGAGAAGGACCCTGAAGGGAAGGGACAAGGTAAGAGCCAAGATAGCTAGTCCTGAAGACCTAGAGTCCATGGGAGATTGGAAAAGCTTAGTGGCAGATACGGGTATTGTTGTACCCTATGTACAACAGTACGAAATACCACCCGGTCCCGTGCCATCCTTCAAATTGTTCTTACGTTTGAGCCTATTGATGCAGCCACTGTGCCAATCCATCTTGTCGAAGGCCTTCCTCTTTTGGGTTACCCCACGACTGCTTCAGGGACTGGTCTCTCCTGACAACCTGTCCAAAGTCCAGGAGACAAAGTCTCACTATCCTTGCCTCGAAGGAGCATTCTGACCACACGTCTTCCAATGGGTTGTACAAATGGCTAAATGCTCAACCACTAGCCAGAGTGTTGATAATCCTAACGCACCCAGAAGTGCCCCAGAAGATGGCCTTGAGGTCAGAGCCTTGAAACCCCTACGGAGCCGTTCTGCTCTGTACACCTGGGGCCATCATGAGTTGGAACCAACTTGATGGCAACTCACAACACCAACATGCATCTTAACAGCTGGGTGGTTTCCTCCATGTTTCTCTTCCTCTTCAGCCCAGTTTTGTTGGGTTCAAAATATGAATGCTGATATTGTTTGAGGTCGGGTCGACTAGAGAAACAAACCCAGAGACACATATGCACAAGAAAGAGCTTTCTAGCCAAGAGTAATTGCATATTAAGAAAACAGCCCAGCCCAGTCCTTACCAAGTCTGTAAGTCCAACATTAGCTCATAAGTCTGATACTAGTCCATACATTCCTCTTCAAACTCACACAGCGCATGCAATGATGCAAGATACAGGAAGATCACAGGTCGGTGGGTGCAGTGTCTTATGCACCCAGTGCCAGTGGAATCATCTCAGCACTGGAGTGGTCTCCATCTGGCTCCTCCAGCTCTCCGAGTGTCTCAACAGCAGGAAGGTGAAGGAGAGAGAGAAATGGCTCGCTTCCAGGGAGAGAGGAAGTTCCCAGAATCCTCATGAGAAGGCCACACCCACAAGGAGGCACGATCAGACCGTGACCTGATTGACAGGCTAGACTCCACCCTTTATTTATCCAGTTGACATGAAATTATGTAACTACCACAGAGATCTTGCTGAGTGTAATAATGCCAGAGGCACCTGTCAATTAACCAGCATGTTTTGGGAACATAGTCCTGGTGATGAAGTAAAGCCAGAGAAATTGGCTGATATCAGAAATCAACAGTGCAGAGAGAAGAGGTTGGGTGGTGGGGAGGATGAATCCAACCATCCAACCCAAACGAAGCCCGTTGCCACGGAGTCTATGCCAACTCATAGCGACCCTATACCTGGGTTCCAAGGTCAGCCTTCTCATTCACTGGCTGTGTGGTCTTGGGCAGATTGCTTTGTCCTCTCTGATCCTCATGGGCCAAAAGCTGAATGATCTCTTTCCAATCAACTCCAGTGATATTTCCAACTGTTTGTTCACTCAGCAATCCTCACACATTGGGTGTCCTGGGTTCATTCTTGGGCTTTGAGGAATGAAAGACTAGCAAGCCACTTTCTTTGCCCTCAACTATGTTAGAGTTAACAAGACCCAGCCCTGCTCCTTTTGGGAGACAAGTCCACTCCCTTTCCAAACTCTAAAGCAAACTCTAAGCTCTAAACAAACCCACTGC